GCTGTGCTTGAGTCTGCACGTTTTGCCATTGTTCTAAGAGCTCCTTCAGTTTAGTGGCGGACAGTTGTTCCTCGCCTGGCTCTTCTTCCTCTTCCAAAGAGGCCTGCTCCTCCGTAGCCTCTGCCTGCAGTTCGACCAGCTCCTGGGTGAACAGCTCCTGGTCATGGCCCTCCACCAGTTCACAGATGTCCTCCTCTGTGACCTCGAGGCCCATGGTCCTCCCCAAGGCAACAATGTGCATCACTGTTGACTCTAGTGTAGGGCATCAATGTTGACTCTAGTGTAGGCGCAGAAACAGCCTCTCCATGCCTGACCACGCTGTGGATTCCAGATCTGGTTTTGAAGCGTTCAAACCAGCCTCTGCTTGCCTTGAAGTCTTCTGGCTTGGCTGAGGCTCCTGGCTCTTGCTGCACGAGGTCTGCATACAAAGCCTTGGCCTTTTCACAAATGACAGCCTCAGTCACTCTGTCCCCTACACGCTGTTTCTCTTGCATCCAGATGAGCAGCAGCTTCTCCACCTCCTCCAGAACAGCTGGCCGGTTCTTCATGATCCTGGTGACTCCCTTGGCCACATCTGTTGCAAGGATCTTCTCCCTCATCTTAAGGATGGTACTGATGGTGGATGGATTCCTCCGGTACTCCCTAGCAAGGTCTATCACTTGCATGCCTCTGTTGTGCTTCCTGATGATCTCCTTCTTCATCTCTAGAGTAATCTTCTCCTTTGTCATCTTCCCGGCCTCTGCAGAAGCAGCCTTCTTGGGACCCATGTCTGCTACATTCGCAAAAACAAAATGCAGTGCTTCACATCCACTTCACACACACCTTACACACCTTCCCACACACCTTCCCACCCCTGGCCAAAACTGCCCTAGACAAACAAGTGGCATAATACCCCCCCCTCAACACAAGCTAAGCTCCCTACCTTTCCTGTACAACTTAAAAAATAAAATTGGTATAACACCCCCCCCAACACAAGCTAAGCCCCCTACGTTTCCTGTGCAACTTATTTTTTTGGCATTACAGCCCCCCCCCGCAGAACAAATGCACACCCTACCTTTTGCTGGCAAAAAAGTTCTGAAAACCTTCAATTTCTCCAAAGACAGGATGTGTCCACAACACAGACCACACCAAACACAGGATGTGCCCACAACTCAGACCACAGTTGCTCCTCTCGAAGTCAACCTTGGAACTGCACGTGGAAAAGTGAACCCAGGTTGTATTTGGGAGGCTTTTTAAACCCCCCAGCACAATGCACAATGCATCCTAGGTATTAACGGTTGAGATTTTTTTTAAAAAAAGGAAAAACATTCATCTTGCGAAGCACGGCCATAGGAACATTCGTCTTGCGAGTCATCAACCCCATTGCCAAAACCATTTGTCTTGTGTCCCGCGAGGCATTCGACTTGTGAGGCACCACTGTATTTCTTCCCGATTCCTAGGAATAACAGAAGAGCAGTTTTAGTCCTCAAGGCTAAAGTAGTTCAGATATTTTTATAGCACCTACTGAGTAAGAAGACTTCTATAATATAATCCTATAAAGCAGTAACTTAGCATCCTGATTTTTCAGTGAAAAAGACTTAACTGTGCTGGAAATGTAGTACAGTTAATGGTCAAGTTATGTAAAAATGTGTGTTGGAGGGGAATTCCTCTTATTGTTGTTGATGGCCCAACCCAACATGCAAGTGATTGTCCAGCTACAATATTTTACACAAGGTGTTAGTCAATTAAATGTACCTATATAACAGGAATGATTTTCCTTTTTGAGTCTATTGAGCAAAGACAAACATTTTAGGCCCTTGTTATGTATCCATATGCCTAACCTAGCTAAGAGTCAGGAGAAACACCAGTGAAAATTATTTTGAATTAATTAGTAAGGGGATTCAGCACTGGCCTCCATGTGGTGGTGTTGGCTGAGTTGGGCGTTTAGAATTGGTGCTGTTCTAATTTTGAGCTTATCCTGATTTGTTCTGTGGTATTTCTGTTGTATATTTGAATAGATCACTTTGGTATTTGTGTCCACACATGGGGAGGGTATTTGCATACACTGGGAGGCGCCAGGCTAGACCAGTACTACCTGTCCACATACATCTATGTAGAATTCTTCTCTTTCATTTCTCTCCCAACAGAGATCACTCTCTTCTGCCTATCTGCCTGCTCTCTTCACTTACTTCACTTTCTCTTCCCTACCTCCCATATTTTACCCCTCCACAGGGTATAGATGAGTGGAGACTTATCAGCAGAAAAATGCCCATAAGGAACATAATCAAATCACACATCCACAAAGTACATGGACCAAAATGCAATAACACAGTTCACATGGGCAGATTCTCCAGCTGCAACCTGGAGCTAAAATACATTACCATCTGTCAGTGTGTAAAAAGCAAACAAAAACAAAACAAAACAAAAAACAGAAAGCAAGGTGTTCTGTTTTGATTCTATTGACACTAATTTCTGCCCTGCATTGTGTGGACACCAAGATGCAGTACAGGTATCATGGGTGCAAGGAAAGTTGAATAAATACTCCATGTAGACAGGTTCTTACTTACATGGTACAAAAATCTGCGATAAAATCTGTCTCCCTTCTTTGGGTGTGTATCACAGGAAATAACTACGATTTCTATGATAAGATATGCAAAACAGGTGCTTCCAAACAGATACTTGCTTCAAGTATATCATGCTTTTGCAAGCAAAATTGTTTTAATTGTTTTACTGCTTTTGGAAGTAAAATAATAAATCTTCTGTCCTATTAACACTAGAATTTTAAAAATGTAGTCCTCAAATCTATAGGCACATTGTTCCCATACATCTCAAATGTATGTACATGTAGTTTTAAATCTTAAGAGTAGGGATGTGTCACTGGGGACCAACAACAAGATTGCTTGTACCATGGAATTTCCAATTACAATGTATGGATGTGGAAGCTAGAATGTGAAAAGTGCAGAGAGGAAAACAACTGAGTCATTAAAAATGTGTTGGAGCAAAACCTTCTAGATACTATGACCTGCCCAAAAGACAAATAAGTGGGTGCTAAATAAAATCAAATCTGGCTTCTCAAAAGAAATGAAAATGCCTAAACTGAGACTATCGTACTTTGGCTGTACAATGAGAAGACAAGATTTACTGTAAAATACAGCAATATTGGGAGAGGTTGAAGACAGGAGGAAAAGAGAAAGGTCAAACATGAGGTTAACTGATTCAATAAAGGACGGCACAAGCTCCAGTTGGCAAGACCTGAGCAGGGCTGTCAATGATGGGAGCTTTTAGATGCTACTAGATAATACTGTAGTGAGACATGATGGGAGTTTGCAATCCAAAAACATCTGGAGGGCCACAGGTCACCTACTTCTCTTGTAGATAATAGCTAATTGTCTCAACAAATTGGAATGGCTGTACATTGTCTCCAAATGTAACACAGGGAAAGAAAACAGAAATCCTCCACCCTGCCAGACCCTTACAATTTGACTTAAGTACTACTTAATATTGTATGTGATGAAGTGCACTTGAGTCTGGTAAGCTGTTATTGTCTTAGCACTCTTGTATGCCCCACACAGCATGACTAATAACATAGTGTGACAGACATCTGAAACATCTGGAGATGTCCTCATCCCTGATTTATAAAATGACATAAGACTTATTTTTGGTGCAACAGAGCAATATGGCTATCTGTATGTTTAGTATTTAATTAAAGCAGAGCTGGGCAGACTTGTGGTCTTCCAGATATTGCTGTATTATAACTCCCATGCACTTTAGCATTGGCTATACTGGCAAGGACTGATGAGAGCTGCAGTCCGACATCTTTAGGAGGACCACAAGTAACCCACCCCTAAATTAAAAGTAATGCTAAGCAAGTCTAATGCTGCTGTGGGGAAGGAACACCCTTCCAAAGAGAGGTTATGATATAAACAGATTGTACCAAATCCTTAAAACACATTTACAGGATGTTGGACACAAATAACACTTTTCTCTTATTACCTTTATAACAGATTACATCTGGATATGTACTGTAGTGTATGGTACATTTCTCAGGTGTTGTAACAGTATAACAAGCAAGTTAATTCGGTAATTGGGGGGAGCTTGGAAGAACAGCCTCTCTTCTTCCATACAGATTCAGAATACCGGTAAATCAGCAAATGGTCCCAAATTGTACTTGCACACAATCACCTTGTACTCTAGTCTACACAACTCAAGAGGCCTAACTAACACAGATTAACTGTCCCTACATATGCATTGATATTGGGGAGGGTACCCTCAGCTCAACTTGCCTTTAGACACTTGGGCAATTCTGAGCACGCTGGAAATGCTTAATTGTAAATGACATAAACACCATGCTTTCCCCAAAACATCCTCTGAGCCCTCTGTCACTGCCCCTCACTTTATAATACCTAGCCATTTTATTTAACCCTAAATATAGAGCTGGTTCTCTGATTACAATACTGTACGTACTTCAGTCTCCTCAGGTTAAAAAGAGTTGTTTAAAAACACACTCTGCATGTGCTCAGGGGGAACCCTACGTGATGTGCCTACTGAACGCTGCTAGTACGTTTTTAAAAATAACAGCGACAGCAGCAGCACTGCCGGTTTAAGCTAAAGCCTATCTGCGCGAAAAGCGGGATATGCAGCTCCTGTCAGTCCTCAATCAGTTGGTCCCCAAAAGTCCTGAGGTAACGTAAGACGAGCCTTGGCTTGTCAGTCGGGAAAGCAGAGGCCGCCCGGAACAGACCGCCTCGAGCAGGCCCAAAAGCAACCTAGCCCATGCCGTGGCTTGTCCGTTGCCCTCGCTCTCTCCCCTCCCTCCTCCCCCCCCGCCCCGCGTTCGGTCCCTTAACGGCAGCTCGGGAACCAAGAGGAGCCCCTCCCCCGGCTGGAAACACGAAGTACGCCTTCCTGGAGGGAGGGGCGTAAGTTCCAGCAACGGCCAAAGGCGAAAGGGGTGGAATTGAGGGCGGAGGCCCGTGCGCGCGACTGGCAGGCAGGATTCCTGGTTGCCGTTACGGGGCGGGGGGAGGTGCTCGGGAGAGGGGATGCTAAGGGCGTTCCTGGGTTGCCTCAGAGGGGTCGGTCGGTCGTCGGAACGTCGGCCGCGGGGAGGGGTGTTCTTTGGAGGGACGGTGGCCGGGAGACGTTATGGTGTGCCTGTGGAAGGGGGAGGTGCGAGGAGGAGGAGGCCGAGAAAGGAGCACGGGCGCCCTTTCCGGGTTAATGACGGGACACCGACCGACCGCTCTGGAGGGCTGTCAGGGTGGTTTGCCAAGAGAGTTTGTTAAGGCAGCCCGGAATGGTGGCGCCCAGGTTTTGGTATTGTTGCGACCCCTGTATCACTAAAGCACCACGTTTGGCTCCAGAGGGAGGGGTCGAGGGTATGACGCAACTTGTGTATCAGACAACCAACCAAACCAAACGAACGTTTAAAGCCAGCTTGTGTGTCTCGGGCTGAAGTCCTTCCTGTCAGCTCTTAGGGAAAAGGCTCTTTCCTTGCAAGACCACTGCACCGCTTCCGGATTATGGTCTCTCTGTTGTGGGCCTACCACACGGCTGGCCCTGCCATTAAGCACACCGAGGCATTTCCCCCTCGGGCAGCAGCTCAAAGCTTGCCGACGTCTTTGATGGAGAGCCCTTCCTGTCCGTACAGGGCGCTTTTATTTTTGCTTTGAACAGCCAGCCCCTGGGCAGCCCTGGAAGGCTCCTGAGGCTGCACAGGAAGTGAGTGGCACTGAGACTGAAAGCTGAACCTTCAATACCTCACATATTTAATGTACCCTTACAAAAATGCATTTGTACCTGGATTTAGAATTCTACCCCTTTGCAAAAATAATGATGTTGAATTGACTATTTAAGCAAGCAATAGTTAATATTTGCTCTAATTTGGCCCAGCTTTTCTGGAATTGTGGGATATTTTTGTTCTTAAGATATCCTTCTACTTACCTAATCTACTGTGAAATCTAATGCAGGAACTTCTGACAAATAATGCAAAACAAACCACTATCTGTTAAGAAGAATATATCTCCACAAAGGAAGCAACAATGTGATCTGACTAAGCACCACAAAAATACAGTCTTGGAATATTCTTTTGCATATCTCATGTTTATGAGTGGACAGAAAAAAATAGTTAAACTGATTTTTAAAGAATTGTAATTATACCACTGTATAGTACATATTGACAGGCAAACACCATTATTTTTGATTTATTGATTTAATTACTAATTGTATTAAAATGTTATTAACATATTTAATTGCTATTCATTAACTGGTACTAGTTAGTTATATTTAATTACTATTATTAAATACTTCTGTTCTATCTGAATCTCTGTGTAGCATCTGGAAATTTGTTTCAGCCTATAGGTTCTGAAAAATCAGCTGGAGATCTATGTGGCTTAAGCATCATTTCCAGAAGCGGCTCCAGAGCACCTAGCTGGGAATATAGAGTAGTTCTGTGCATGCAAGGTAAATTTACGTTTGTTTTTATTGAAGAGCTGTCACCTCTCCCCAACACGTGGCACACTATTTTGGGAATGTGTGGACCACAATGCAGTTTGGGATATGACATGATGTGTTTATCTGTCATGCAAACATTTATTTATTTATTTATTTGTTTGTTGTGTGTGTGTTTTTTTATTTATTTCTCTCTCTCTCTCTCTCTCTCTCTCTCACTCTCTCTCTCTCTCTCTCTCTCTCTCACACACACACACACACACACACACACACACACAAAATGTATGTCACAGTCCTTATATACAACTTTGGGTCTCTCACAGAGCCTCAAAAGTGCCAGTTATTGTTACAATTGATTATAATGGACACCGCACTTCAAGAAGGATGCTAACAAATTGGAACAAGTTCAGAGGAGGGCGACAAGGATGTTCAGGGGGCTCGAAACCAAGACTTATGAGGAAAGGCAGAAAGAACTGTGCATGTTTAGCCTTGAGAAAAGAAGACTGAGAGGTGATGTGATAGAACTTTTCAAATATTTGTAAGCTGTCATACAGAGGAGAGGCAGGATCTCTTCTTGATCATCCCAGAGTGCAGGACAATGCTCAACAATGGGCTCAAGTTAAAAGGAAGCCATATTTCAGTTGAATATTAGGGAAGACTTCGTAACTGTTAGAACAGTACGACAGTAGAACCAATTGCCTCAGGAGTTAGTGAGTGTTCCAACACTGGAGGCATTCAAGAAAAACTTAAATACAGTGGTGCCTCGCATAACGAGCGCACCGTTTAACGACGAATTCGCATAGCGATCTAATTTTTTCTAATGCGATCACATTGCGATGTTCTGTATAGGCAAAACATCGCATTGTGATGATTGGTAAGCGTTTCGCTTACCGATCTTCGCATTGCGATGTTTTTTTAAACAGCTGATTGGCAGTTCCAAAATGGCTGCCAGGTGCCCAAAATGGCCGCCGCAAGTGTTTTTGCACCCTGCCCTGCGAAAATGGCGGCACTATGGAGGAACATCGCTGAATGGTGAGTTTTGGAGCCATAGGAACGCATTAAACGAAGTTTAATGCGTTCCTATGGCTTTTTACGTTCCGTTTAGCGATGTTTTTGCATAGCGACGATTAATCCGGAATAGATTAACGTCACTATGCGGGGCACCACTGTAATCACTTGGCAGATATGCTTTGATTGTATCCCTGTATTGAGCAGGGGTTTGGACTTGATGGCCTTGTAGGCCCCTTCCAAGTTCATTTTTCTATGATTCTATGATAATAATGAAGCAAACAATGCTATTTTAAAACCAATGTGATGATTTTTTAAAACAAGTGATAACTTAGCACAGGTACATTTAAGTATTTGAGAAAATGTTTTTTCTCTTTGGAATAGTAACTCAAGTTATTTTGAATAGTAGAACCATTTGCTGCTTACAGTGGATGGAGGGAAGACCTTTGAGGTACAGGGTGATTGACTTAAAGGAAAAGCTTAGCTAATGTGTCTTGCTGCTCACACTAGGAGCACAGGCATGAGGTCTGATTACATGAACTATTGGTAAGAGTATTACAAGTTAACTGCTTAATATTTGAAAGAGTGAGGAAGGGGTTTCTTATTGCTGGTTTGTGTACATTCTACCCTGTTTCCCCCAAAATAAGACCTTACCTGAAAATAATGTGTGATTTTTCAGGATGCTCATAATATAAGCCCTACCCCTAAAATAAGCCCCAGTTAAGTGAAACCCCTCCCTCCACCATTGTGCAGCAAGCAGAATAAGATGACATGACTGTATTTGAATAAATGTAGGTTGTTGTACATTAAAAACAATTTCCTGAAAATAAATCCTAATGTATTTTTGGAGCAAAAATTAATATACGACCCTGTCTTATTTTTGGGTAAACACGGTAATACAAGCTCAGGTCACAGTCAGACTTACTCTTATATGTGGACAACAAATGAATTAATCAAATTAGGCATACATATTCCTAGGTTGCAAAATTAACATTCAGAGTTTCTTATTGTAGTACTAGTCAGTAGACCCAGCTTTATACAGCTTAGAATCCTGTGGGAACTACCTGCACACCAATATCCTCTCTGTTTTCCATGTGTCCTCTTTGTTTTGCACTTCTCTCTCTCTCTGTCTGTCTTCATCTTGGTACTCATTTAGCCGGAGCACAATTCTCAGACTTATTAAGTTATAGCACTGCAAAGATACCCTCCAGATTTGGTGAAAATCTATCCATCCATTTATTAGAAACTAAATGGAGGGCAGGAAAGTGCCCTCCAAATCCCCAGAGTAATTTTCATATGTATTGCATCACCTGTTTAACTCAGACCATCCAAAACTTACTTTCCGAATCCGGAGAAAAGTTTGTCTAGGTGTTTTTGCACAATGCTGTAACAAATACATCATCATCATCATCATCATCATCATCATCATCATCATCATCATCATAACAACAACAACAATTACTACTACTACTACTACTACTACTATTACAGTAATCATATTACCAGTCTTACAGCTGCCTTGTGTGCTTGCCAACTTGGCCGATGCCAACCTGGCCATGATCTTGGTGTCTTCCAAACCATTTTTTCACTCACATTGTCCCACATCCTGTCCAGCAGGCACTGTGCAATTTTCCCCCCTACTCAGCTAAACTTCCATTTTCTTTCTCTCCTTAGCTTTGCTGGGTGTAGGATTACTCACATAGAAGTGGATTTTCTGTGACATCACAGCAGCTCAGCCAATGCCTACAAGACTATGGAATGCCATCCCGACTGAGATTCATCTGGTCCCGACGCTGATGACATTTTGGCGCCAGGTCAAAACCTTCCTGTTCCAGAAGGCTTTTAATTGAAATAATATTAGCTGTGGGTCCGATGGCAATTTTTATATATATTTTAATTGCATTTTAATTGTTATGAGTTTTTATTGTATTTTAAATGTTGTAAGCCGCAAATTAAAACCTACCTTCATTTGTATAGATTTATAGCACAGAGTTGTTCTATAAAAATGTACGCATAACCCTTACAATGGTTTACAAAATGGTAGAACCACTTTAAAATTGGGATGGCAAGATATAGTCTTAAACACTACAGTGCCAATATTTTTCAAGTGTGAAGACAACGTCTACTCGGGGCGGCTTACACATCAAAATAACATATATAAAAATACAATTATTAAAATTAATTCTGAACAACATATTTCCAAGATGGCATGACTCAAGAAGAGGGGGAAAAACACTTAATTGGCTGGAGGGAAGGCCTGTTTAAATAACCAAGTTTTTAACTGGCTTTTGAAAATGCCCAGCGAGGGTGCCAGCCGAATTTCGGTAGGGAGAGTGTTCCACAGCTGAGGGGCCACTGTCAAGAAGGCCTGGTTTCTTGTTTTCTCCTTCCGGGCCTTCCTCTTCATCAGGCCCCTCAGCTATCCCTGCTGGCTGTGTCGGGTGATTCGGGTAGATCTGGGTGGGAGAAGACGATCTGCCAAATATTGAGGTCCCAAACCATTTAGGGCTTTATATGTAATCATTAACACTTTCAAGTCGATGCGAAAATGGATGGGCAACCAGTGCAAGGCAGCCACTGATTAAATTTATGATTATACAAATATAATCAATATATAAAGAAAAAGTGTCTGCAGTTGGCCAAAACTCTTTTATTTTTCTGCACTTTGGAATGTTCCCCAAGTGTTCAGATGCACCATGGTCAAAGACTGGATGGTAGGTTTAATTCTGATTAATTCTTGCTCTGATTCATTAGAACAGAGGTTGTCTTGGATCATATTGGATGCAATACTATTTGAATCTTGATATGCTATCAGCTTTCATGTCTGGATGTTTTTATTTGTTTATTTAAACTTGGTTTAGATGACCCATGACACAGTATATGGGATTTGATTACTGACTGAACTTGCAACAAGACTTTCCCATGCCGGTTTTGTCCAAAAGCAGAAGCTGATTGTGAAATGGCAGTGGGCATGGAAAAAAGGAAGGGAATGAGGAAGCTGAACATTGCATATGTAGGACGTAATAGTTGCTGAATAAGCAACAAACTGCAAAAAGTTGCTTGTTACTAATCTGCTCATAAAAGGAATTACAGAAGCTTGCAAGAGGTGACAGGTGGTATGATGGAAAATGGGGAATTATTCATAATAACACTTTCCAATGAGATATCTATCTGTGCTAGTTTGTTTCAGCATTACTTACCCCTCTCTCCACTGTGAACTCTGTGTGTCTAAACCTAACTATCATACTCCATGTGTCTGAGGAAGTGGGTTGTAATATAGAACACCATACGTACACTGAAATTCTGTACATCAGTTAGTCTTTAAGGTGTCACAACTCTTTTGCTTTTGTTTTCATTATACATGCTTAAAGTAAAAGCTGAGAATGTGAGATCTAGATTTCTTGCTCTCTCATTATTAGATGAAGGTGATTAAACATTCTCAGGAGGTGCTGAAGGTAGCCTTGATTTCTGAGGACGCACAACTTGTGAAGCTGTATGACGCATTTCAGCCTAAGGAGAAGCTCTTGCTAAGTGAAGCATATCGACCAGACAGTGTTCTCTTTAAGCCCATCACACTCCACTCTGAGTCAGATTGGATCTCCTCACATCCTGAATCCACCCAGGATTTTGCACAGTTTTATTGTGACCCTCGCAGAAATAGACCATCTCCCCAGAAGAATCGGATTTATGTCCAGCCAATTGGTAATGTCTACTTAATCAGTTAAACAAATGGTTACAAAACCTCATGAGAGATGAAAACTGAGTTACGCAAATTCCTTTTCTGAAGCATGTAGTATGAACCAGTTTAGTTAGTGGTTTTCAAGCTCTGCTTTAGGGACACCTTTCCACATTGACTATTTTGTTCAGTGAAGCCTAGCACATCTGCTACAGAAGACCTACCTGCCTTTTTGTAAAAGATGCAGACCATATTTTAGGGTGGACTTCCCCAATCCGGTATCTTTGAGAAGTAGTGATTCTGTTTTTCTTGTGCACGGAGTGGGGGTGGGTGGGTACAGAGCTCAAATTATAACCACCTGGGTTGTTTTTCTACACTTCTTAAAAGGTTCTTTTGGAGATTCCAGAGTCAGCACAGACATCTACATGAAATGGTTGAAGGATTACTGTGAAGCCTTTTATTATGGCCTGACCGTAAGGATCTTGAGCCCAGTGCCAGTTTCACATACGGGTTGTGCTTTTCGAGTAAATGAGTATACTCACAATCTGCAGATTCATGCAGGTATGAGGAATAGATGGAACACTATTGGTCTGGTACATGCCTGTAGTTTGGATCAGTTCTGCCTCTTCCTATAAATGTTTGCTGTATTAAAATAGCATTGTAATTGTATAATATACTGTGTTAAGGCAACACTATGGCATTCTTGTTGGGAGTTGGAAATATGAGGTTCACATATCATTAGTAGCTAATTGGAAGCAGAAGCAAATAAAAGGATAGCCAGATTTTCAAAATCATATTGTTTTTTTGTCACCTGTATGATTTTGAGTTTCTGAGGTTTTAAACTCTGCTGTCCAACTCTTAACTGTACAAACAGAAAATGTGGCTAGCAGCCTTATAATCTTGCACCTGTTGGGACAGAATTTATAAATATGTATAATATGTATAATACTATATGTATAAAATTAATATATATAAGATTATGGAACTGTCTTAGATTCAAAGTACCTGTCTACTCAGGCCAAAATTTTCTACTGATTGACAGCAACTCACTACAGAGAGATATTTCCTATATTTTCCAGCCTGTGTTTCTGAAGTGAAGAGGCAAAAGTTTGAATCTAGGACCTGTTGCATGCTATGTCTGCAAGTAAATGCTTGCATTAGCACATCTGTGTGGTGTTTCTGTGTGCTAGTTCTAGACTCTTCTGCTTTTGTTTTTATACAGGGCACCTCTTGAACTACCTAAAGAAAAAAAAACCAAAGGATGCTTTTTGCATTGTGGGAGTCACTATGATAGACCTTTACCCAAGAGACTCCTGGAATTTTGTCTTTGGGCAAGCCTCCTTGACTGAAGGTATGTACAGTGTTTACTACCGTTTAAGTCCCCAAATTGATATATGACAGTGACTGTTGATTTTGAATCACAGCTGAGGTTGAATACAAGCAAAATGTTACTGGAGTAGTGGGACATCCTGGAAGTGCAAAGGATACTTTCTCTCCTTTCAAATTCACATTTAGGGAAAACTGAATCAGTATGTTTGCAGCAGAAGCTGACAGTACAAAGTCCTGATAGACTGCTGTCTGCAATATTACAAAAATTGCTCTACATTCACCTCTAGAATAGTAATTAATAATAACTGTGATTCTGACTCATGGCAACCCTTTTCAGGGTGTTTTTTTTCAGGCAAAGAATACTCAGAAGTGTTTTACCATTGCTTTCTTTAGGGGGCTCCCAGGGACTGTACAGTTTGCCCAAGGTTGCACAGGCTAGCTCTTTTCCCAGGAGGCACAATGTGGAACTGAGCTCCCAACTTTTGCCTCTGCAGCCAGATACTTAAACCACTGAGCTAACCAGAATAGTACTGTGACCTTAATGTTAAGGTATTTAAATGGAAAATGTTGCTTGAAATAAAACAAAAGTTTTGTTTAAAATAGAAGTACTCTGCTCTGCAGATGTTTCTTTGGAATAATTGTTCATAAACATATAAGTAGCATTTGTTTTAAAACTTGGAAAGCTACCTTTAATGTGAGAGTGGGCCAGGATTGACAACTGAAACAGCAAATTATTGTTAAATGTGTCTATAATTTACATGGTGAGCCTGAAGGAAGAGGTCAGCAATGTGCTGTGAATCTTGTTTACTTAACATGTTTCCACACCACTGCCTACATAGCCCTGTCTTGTTGGTTTCAGTTATGAAAAACCTCTTTTCTGTATACATTTTCCTCTGCTGCAAGCTTGAATGGTGAGAACCAGGAGTTGTCTTCAGCTGTGTCAGTCTATCAATAGAATGCACAGTAGTGCTGGATGCACAGTACTCCCTCTTCCTACTTATGTTGCACCAGTCTACTCTGGGGGACTTGGGAGTCTGTGGAAGTGATCTGGGGTGTGTGTAGTAAGAAGAAAGAAGAAGGGGACATCACATTGTATGAGTAGAAGTTTATTCATGCAGTATTGGATGTGCCTCCTGATACGTTAGAAACACTTCAGCTGGCAAATACGCTGATTCTACTTCTTGTAATGGGCTTCTTTTGAATTCCTTATTGGTCAGCACATAATAGTTCTTCTCTTCTCATGAGAGAGAAGAGCGCTGGATATACTCTTGAATTGTTGAATCAATATATTTCAATGATTCCTTGAACTTTCTGGTAAATGTTAGACCCATCTGTTCTTGGAGGAATTTTATTTGTAGGAAAATTCTGACTTCTTGCATTGACTTTCTGTGGTGGATTGATATCTTACAGTGGATTTTTTTTCTGTCTAAGGAGACAGAGTAGGTGAGATACAGGGAAACAGTGAGAGTGGAGCTGTAAGCTTTGGGAGCACTTGAGGAGACAGACTCCTCTCTTGATAGCTGTGCAAGGAAGTAGATTTTGCTGCTTGTTGAGATTCTTGAATTGTGCTCCACTTCCAACCTATCTCTGTGTGTAAATAAATGCTAAGACCAGCTTCAGGCTCTCCTGGATGAAACAGATGCCCTGGATCCATTCCAGTCGGGCTTCAGGCCGCGTCACGGTACAGAGACGGCATTGGTCGCCCTGTATGATGACCTGCTGAGGGAGGCTGACAGGGGCAAAACGTCTCTGTTGGTCCTCCTC